TAACATTGGAGGAATTGAACCACAACCGGCAGTACATACAGCTGCTGTGTCTCTATGTGTGTATAGTGTATAGTGTCTCATAAAAGGCAAAGGGTGAATGGGTAAGATAATTCTGTTATGAGCCCCAGAATGCGCAATCTCAAATGGAATGCACAAGCTTGATAAAACTGATCGAGAAGCCATGATAAATCTAGTAAAGTAGTACGTCATGGAGAAAAATGCATTGTGGGTAGCAAAGTAGAGGAATAAGTAATAATGCGCGTCATGGGCGGAGAAAGCAAGCTGCCATCAGAAGAAGTGTTTTTTCTCTTCTCTTCTTTACTATTTTTCCCTCCCTTCTGCTTTTGCAGGTTTTGTTAAGTTTTTCAATAAAGTATGGCTTGCAAATACACTACTTCGTGGTCTTTTCGGAATAACATTGTTCGTAACTTCCATTATAGCCTACTTTATACTAATTAACAAAATCGCTAAATGCAATCTTCTGCCTCTCAGTTCTTTGGTTCTACGTATACAAAACCGGTTCGATTCCGGTTCGGTTCTTGGTAGGAACTGAACCATATTTTCTCGGTTTCGGTTCGGTTCGGTTCTGGTTCTATGGTTCTGATACGGATCCCTACTCGTCAGTAAGTCGACCTTCCCAATTGCCTTGTTGTAAATCCTTGGATAGACGATGTTGTAGAATTGTTGCGCACATATCTGCCAGACTTGTTCTAGTAATTGTTTTGCATTTGTACTCGTTGCATATTGTCAACAGGTCCACGACATTGGATGCTTGAAGGTTATGGTGCACACACCTTATAATCCACAATTTTGAAATTTGTTTCAATTTCGAGTTTTCAGATTCCGCTTCTATATATGGTAGTTTTTAATCATCAATGCCTACTTTCCGATGGGAGCTTGCAACTTTGGTTATGAATATCCTCACTTCTTCATCTTCTGCCCAGGCATCCTCTCCCTTTACTTATATGCTTCTATATAATAAAACCATCTTTTGTAATATCTACGAATCTTTGTGGGGTTATTGGGGGAAAAGCTTAGTCTAAAGCAATAGGAAGGTGTTTCTGAAGGCTAGCAGAGGAGTTGTCGCACATTCCTCTTATGCAGCTGCAATTGCTCCATTATAGTGACGAAGTTACTGATTTCTGTTCAATTGTGCTTTTTAGCAGCTTTCTTTTGATCTTTAGGACGAGGTATAATGGAGAAATTGTGTGGAATACGCATGAGAAGGCAAAGCAAACATGAACCTAAGTTAGTAGCCAGTCGTAAGTGGCTTTGCACCGCTTAAATAGTTTACCCATAAGGCTAAACTTGATTTCCGCTTGCTTAAGTATAATCCTATATGTTTCAATTTGCTATCCCTCAGCCAAAAGTGACCAACTTCAGAAGCCTATAACTTTTTTTAAAGAAGCAAGAACTCAAATCTAATCCACAAATATTGTTTTTAAAGGTCTAAAAAACATAAGTAGCCGCTTCTTTTTTTATTTTAAGGTGATATTAAAAAGTAGTAGGGATTCAAAGATTACCCAAGAATTTGCAGATAATAAGGTGCTTGCACCATATTAAATTGTTGAGGAAAAGATTTTGAAAGCCAGGTGATATCATTTGCGATGTTACGCCCAACCTTGATGATATCTTTGCGATTAAGCAGCGTCCAGATAGCATGTGGCAATGATGATAACTTCTCAAACTTTAATATTGATACTCGGTCGTCATATGCAACTTGTATTATTGATACTGGATGCCACGTTGGATCATTTTCATGAAATGTCCACTCTGCATCAAGACCAACGACGATCGGTTGCTGTTCAGTGCCATTTTGTTCGAGTAGTGGTGTCAAAGCAGCTTCGATTTGCAAAGGTGAGCTGTGAATTGTTACTGAAATTGTTGATGGTAGCTGTAGCTGCGGCAGATGATAATATGGATCAGCGACTATACGTAGATGAACTTCAGTACGAAGAGATTCGATTTGTGTTTCAAAAAACTGTTTATCGGCCTCGACTTTGTCAGTAAAAAGGATTTCTGGGTGACGGCGGGAAACTGTTGAATTCTCGGGCAGTAAGGCATCGAACCATAAAAAAGCGGTAGCAGAGGAGAACATAAAGTGGAAAGAAGGAAGAATAGGAGGGCCTGTTGAATCAACAGCAATGTTAATAGCAGTCGTTATGTCTTGTAGGCTGCAATGTATTTGACGCAGGCTTCGACTTACCAGTAAGGTATACATACTCAAGTCCTTTTGGGGAGTTTTGACTTTTCGACTTTTCTTTTTCTTTAGACTATAACTTTTTGTAGAAAGGAAGATCAGCAATCACGTTCAAGCAGAGCACAACAGAAGCACATGACTACTTACTTCTCGGGGGGCTTTTTTCACTGGCACCACCAGGGGAACGCTGGCGCTAGCCCTACCCAGTCGACATACATCTCGTTGGAATCTTCTTCTTCGCACCACTCGTCGATGTCCATTGGCTCATCAGTATCCATGGAATCATCGTCGTCTTGTTTTTTCTCTTCATTGTTTGGGACACCGAGGGCGGAAAGAGTGGAGGTGGAGCAAATAGAGGGATGGTGGGGGCAGCTTAGTGTTGTGGCATTGGTGATTGATGTTGTTGTTGCAGTGAGTGAATATGCTGCGGTGGAAGCCATTGATGTTGTTGGTGTTGGGATGGTTCAGGATGCTGCGGCAGAAAGAGTGGAGGTGGAGCAAATAGAGGGATGGTGGGGGCAGCTTGGTGTTGTGGCATTGCAGATTGATGTTGTTGTTGCGGTGAGTGAATATGCTGCGGCGGAAGCGATTGATGTTGTTGGTGTTGGGATGGTTCAGGATGCTGCGGCAGAAAGAGTGGAGGTGGAGCGAATAGAGGGATGGTGGGGGCAGCTTGGTGTTGTGGCATTGCAGATTGATGTTGTTGTTGCGGTGAGTGAATATGCTGCGGCGGAAGCAATTGATGTTGATGGTGTTGGGATGGTTCAGGATGCTGCGGCGGAAAGAGTGGAGGTGGAGCGAATAGAGGGATGGTGGGGGCAGCTTGGTGTTGTGGCATTGGTGATTGATGTTGTTGTTGCGGTGAGTGAATATACTGCGGCGGAAGCGATTGATGTTGATGGTGTTGGGATGGTTCAGGATGCTGCGGCGGAAGTGATTGATCTTGTTGGTATTGTGATGATTCAGGATGCTGCGGCGGAAGCGATTGATGTTGTTGGTATTGTGATGATTCAGGATGCTGCGGCAGTGGTGATTGATGTTCTTGTTGCAGTGAGCGAGGGTGCTGCAGCGGTGGTGATTGAGGATGCTGCAGCGGAAGCGGTTCCAGAGGGAGCACGGGAGACGGGAAGCTGTTTGGCTGAGGTGATGCCGGTGGGGACGAACCCGCACGCGACAGAGCACGAAACTCATCATCATCACGATCGAGGCCAAGGACGAACGAGGAGGCAGGGGAGTAGGCTTGCTCAAAGGAGCCGTAGGAGGCGGTGGTGGGGTTGCCATAGTTGCTGTTGAAGGAAAGAACAGGCGAGTTGATGTTGAAGGTGGAGTTCGTATGGTGAGATAGTTCGGAAGTCACGTCAGGGTCATAAGGGGCAGTGGTTGCGTCGTCGTCAAAGTCGTAATAACCAGTTTGGTGATTGTAGCTGTTGCTCACAGAAGTCATCGTAGTAATACGGAAAGGTGAAGTGGTAGAGAAGAGAAGAGAAGAGTAGGTGACCATGGGCAGTAAGACTTTGTAGCATGGCTAATCGCAAAAATTAGTTTCAGTTACTGTAATGCAATCAGGAAATTGTAAGAAAGAAAGTATAGTATGCCTTGTATTCCTTGTTCTATGTGATCCATGGATGTAGTAGGCACAAAAGCTTGATACCGAATCTCTTCGTATTCGTTTGTCATTGATACCAACCCTACAAAAATTTTGCACGAATCTAGTTTGCAAAGATGCTTTGTCACCTATTATCAAAAACAAACAAAGCACTTGTCAGAATATACACAAAAGCAAATAAATTAAACTCACCTTATGGCTGTGGTCAATGTTGATTATGGTGGCTGGTAGAGAACTCATGTGGTTGTAGTGGTCGTTTATATGCATTTCAACAAATTCATTGTACATTTTTGTGAGATACTTAGGACCAGGTGTCGAACCACCATATCCATCTCGATCATCGAATGATGGGAAATTCTTGAACTGCCTTGATGCCGAGTGCACTGGTTTATAAAACGAATTGATTGCCGACTGTCTAGTGGGTGATGGATTTTGCTGTTCGTTAGAATGTTCTTGCTGCTGTGGTCTTCCTTCCACATACTGCCATTCAATTTTGTCGTGCCGCAGGTGGTGTCTAGTGCTCGATGCTTTTGCAAATGAACTGGGCCCCATTCCGTTACCAAAGCACAGCCGCATATTTGTCATCAACTCCTTGGATACACCACTTTTATGTGAAAGTGTGGCCGGGTATTCGAGCACAAGTTGTATGGGTAGCGATTCTTCTATCAAGTTCTCGTCTGTGCCCATAATTGTGTTGACGTCGCATCCGTCGTTTTTGCATTGATATCGATAGGATAGGATGTAAAAAAAGTCGTCGTCGTCTGCGATGCGTCTGGCAAGTGGGTTTGATAGAAATCCAAGCTCTGTGAGTTTTTGATTGCACTTAGGACACTTGAGCTTTTCTATCAAAAGGTGGACAAGCCAAATGAACACACGTGGCAAATATATAAGTCGGTTGGTTCAAAGTATTCCTTCTTATATATAGCGAAAAAGGGCGCTGGTGGCAAAACCCATAAGGTCTTGTTTTCGTAGCAAGCTGGCATTCCTTTGCTTCTTCTTTCTCTGTCAATTTTGTTGCGGACACTTGTCAGGTATGGCTCAAATACTTTAGGCGTTGCCAAGGTTTCCTCATTGCGTCCCACCATCGGTGTCATTAAATCGTTAAACTGTTGAAAAATAAATGAGCAAAATTGAGAGAATGTCCCTCAATAAGTGAGAGTCGAGCAGTGGAAACATACTTCACTGTGTGTAGATATGTCAAACGTAAAAGAGTACTTTTTGACAGTGTCATGTCAAAGTGGTTGTAGCAGCAGTAACCCGAGTATTCATCCTGCACTAGGGTTCCCAGCAGCTATATGTATACTGTGGAACGCACTCAAGCTTTTGTGTAATGCTGGATGTTATTCTTTATTCCTGATTGGACAGACTTTATTCAACCTTTGTTATTGGTGTAAATAACAATGCCGTACTTTATTTTTTACAAGCAATTGCTCAGTTTTTCCATAACGCACTTTATTATGTAAATTTAACTGGTTAGGTCTCTACGGGTACGGCCCGACTGCCTGGAAATCTTCCAGTTCGGGCTCTGAATGCCGTGGAAACGGACATTCTCGGCCTTGACGACCCGGCCAAACTCTTGGAGCGACTTACTGAAAAACGGCATGTCACTGCCAGGAGGGCAGAAGTCGACGAGGTAACATCGAGCTGCCCAGCGATCTGGAAACCACTTGTCGACAAAAACCAGCTGATGCTGATTGATGACGAACGGAACGGCCCTTTGTACGGCTCTGTTCGCAAGAAAGAGGCGTAATCTTGCCCGAACCAGGTTGAACTATCGTGCGAGATTATTTCCAAAAAAAAGCGAGAAGTACAAGCAAGTCAAGAGCGTTGTGAATTGCTTGATTTACAAGTACAAAGACGAAGAGAAATTCGAAGAAGCAATCAAGGAATATCGCCAACTAGCGGAGGATGTAGCAGCAGCAATGATCGACAGGCAGAAAAATAAGACATCGAAAAGGCTGAAGCAAAAGAAAAGAAAGCTAAAAGAAAAAGAAGAAAAAGATGAAGAACACGAAAAGAAGCTGACAAAAATAAAAGATTTTTGACTATGGCGGTATCGGCAACACCGTTGACGGCAAGTATCAGTGTTGGGTTTCCGACGTCGGTAATCGACAGCGTAGTTTCCGACCGTCGTAAATGTCGGAAATCGGAAATTTAAAAGAAATATTTATTTTTCAAATACAGGATTTTTCCTACTGATTGGCAGTGCTTTTTTTCCTATGATGGCGGGTACTTTTTTCACTTTGGAGTTAGAGGGATTCTTGATTGACGGCGTGTTTTCGTGATTGGCAGGAGGTGAGAATTACAATGGCAGTGTAATGTAATATGTTGGCAGAATTACGAAATTCATAGCGGCGGTGGGGAACTGTTATTAATGCCACTTTTTAATAATATCCATATAGGAAATTCTTTATCATATCTAAATGAATAATTAATAATCAAAAGTACGTACAATATAACAATATATATATATATATATATATATATATATATATTACAAGCAAGACGAACAATCTGCAAAAGTATCAAGTGTTGTAGCATGTGTTGGCAAAAAAAAAATTCACTTTATCAATTTATCCCTCATAAATAAGGTATGTTAAGATGGTGACACTCTTGTGTTATATATGGTACGGTTCAACCTACTGTTGCCTTTACAAATTGTCGAGCCTTGCTGTGTTCATTATGATTGGCGCTGCTACTACTGACTGCTAATACAAATCTATTAGGTCATTCAATCTCACAAAAATATAAACGAACCATAATTTTGGAAATGGTCACACACTCCTCAAATTGGTTCATGTCAAGCAAATCCAAGTACTCGTCTCAAAAATATAGTTTTCCTACGAATTTGAGCTAAAAAAAAAAACCAGCTTGGATCAATCAATATTTGTGGTCAAATGAATTATTGCTGTGCTTTACAGGTGTTCTACTTTTTGGTAACTATCGTATCCGTAAAAGCAATCAGAATTGGCATGATAATAGAATTGTAATCTGCAGAAGAGAACAAAAGATGATGCAAATCTCACTAGCTATATATCAGCAAGGTCCTTTATTATATATTGCGAAATAACATGGTAAAAGATGTGTAAATGTTTATTGAGTAACATCTTCCTTTATGATTTACACTATTGCAGCCCTCACTCACTCATATATTTTTATTACATCAACTGATGCTATAATTGTTTATTAATCAAATTAGCACGACAAAATCGCGGATTGTCATTAAGACCAAACCAGTTTCAACACATAACTGAACATAAAAAGAGAAAAAAAAAACAAATAGAGCATTTGTTATTGACAGCAGTAAAAAATTTTTATTCACAGTACTATCGAACAACATCGAATGAGCCTTGGTAATTTGACACCGACAGTTCCTGCTTGTCAAAAAAAAAGATTTGGTTAACTTTACTGTAAAGAATAACATCTATCTTCGACAAGGGAGATAGACAAGGAAAAAGAAAAGAACGAAGCGTCTCATACCAGGATATGTGAGATAGGCATGTGCGCTTCATCCATTAATTAGTTTTGAAATGCAGTAAGACTGCACAAAGAGGGCGTGTAGGTGATGATACATCTTTTTTTTTATTTTCTCACTTTCACATCTTATTCCGCATGAAGCCTGTATATACAAAAAATCTTGGAAGGGCAGAAAAGAAAATTAGTCCTCGTATCCATACATGTACGTTACTTGGTCAGTGACAAGAGGAAGAAGATCAACTTCCCACTCCTGGTGGAACAGCATATAAATGCTGTAGACAACCAGAATATTTCTCCGCGCAGGGCAGGGTTCATCCGGATCTTCTTCCCATGACAACAATCTACGGCTCCCACTCCCAGTGGAACAGCATGTAATATGCCGTAGGCAACCAGAATATTTCTCCGCACAGGGCAGGGTTCATGTGCAGATTGCCATCATGCTATTCATGCCACTTTATAAATAGAATAAAATAGATACTTAGCTTCTTTGCCCAAAATTATCAGGTCCGTCATTGAAAGAAGAAACTATTCAGGTTGATGGTGTACATGATTATGTTTTTTGAATGAAGTATTGACTGATTTATACAAATAAAACGTATAAAAATAAATGTGTATGTGTTTTGGAGAAGAATAATGTTAACTTGCCAACCAGTGTATTCGAAACTCAGGTCAATAAACAATTTTGCATGATCACATGATCACTATTCAACCAGCAAGAAGAAAGGTCATCATTTAGCTTTTTTCTTCCAAAAGCACTTTGTGATTATCATGACGCAGTTCAACAAAAAGTTTTATTTTCAATCCTCATTCGTTGAGAATGTACAGTCAAAATTACACCTCAAAGGTAAGTTCGATTCTGTTTTGTGTTCAACGATGTAGAGAGATGAACCTATATTGAAGCATTTACTCTAGAGTTTTAGATCAAGGAAGATCCATGTTATTGGACTGTGACACACTACCTACAGAAACTGGTGGCTCAAGATCCTGCAATTACTCGTCGCGATGCTTCTATACGATTGCTGAACGATAGTAAAATAGTTCAACAACATGTTGTTGCAGGAACTGTCGCTGAAACAACAGTAAATTCTATGAACAAGTATAACCAGGTTAGAAAATATTTTTATTTTTTTCTATTAGTCCTATTATATTATTACAGTTACTGATAGTATATATTTTAGACAGTACAAGGCAAAAATGCATTCAAGAATTTTTCCGAAAAGGGTTCGGCTGCTGTAATCGCAGAAAGCTCGGTTAATTTCTCTGTGCAAAAAGTAAATCACTGTGTTTATTGTTAGCATACAGTCTAAACAGATCTGTCTAATAAACAATTTATATAGCATCGTTTAAGAAGCAGCATGGCAGAACAAATTGCAAATGAAGAAGAAAAGATCACAAGAAAGAGACGTGGGGTCGATGAGGGGTCTAGTAGTGGTGTGGTGCAAAAACGAATCAAACAGAACGAAGAAGAGAGCGAAGACGATAGTGAAACCACCGAAGTTGACGTGTGGGAGCAATGGAAGAAATTCCTTGATAACCCACAAAATACAAATCATTTGATGCAACTAAGGTAACAAATGATTCAATATAGGCAAATGGCTATGAAATGATATGCAATTAATAATTATATTCATGGGTATATAGTCCAGAGAAGCACAAAATCATCTGGTGTGGAAAGACTGTTCGCCGTAGAAGCCCTTTACCTCAAGATCTGTATAATAGGCTCCAAAAGGAAGTGCCGCTCATTACTTGTCATAAAATTAGCTCATACTTTGTCGATGTAACAAAAAAAATTCAAGATTCGGTATGTTATATTATTTCAGTACGTCTATTCTGCAGCTGAAGGTAACCTCATCTCTATATAGAAGTCGTATTGCATAATGGGAGAAGCACTTTCAGAGCTTCAATCGATGTCTCCAATTGACAAGTTGCTGATGCCTGAAAAAAAGTTTATTTCGAACATGTGCGACAATTTATGAGTATAAAAAATAATTGGAGTCATATACACATACTTATAAATTACATAGCAGGGTCATGCTCTTGTGCTAATTTTTTATATATATTATTGATATTTAGCTTTGACTATATTTATGACAATTGTAATGAAGAGATCTTGAGCCAATCGGAGACTTGCTATCGGTTATATCTGTTTGATATTTGTCTCAAGTTCACCACCAAATATTTGAGAGAGAAAAAGATCGATATGACTTTTCTGCCAGGTGAAATAGAGCTCGTTTCCATGACTACGCAATTGAAACTAAAGGGGCTGAATAATGGTCATTATAAATACAATGCAGATGGAATCATAAAAGATAACCAAAGCGATCTCGAAATTCTCTTAACTGAGGTATCATCAGCATTTGGAAGTAACGAAGTTGGAAAAATTAGCTTTGATCATTACAAAGCAATGTTTGGCCAGCTTTCCATGTTACGAACAGTAGCCCATATATATGAGTATGCTTCGTTTAATACATTTAAAAAGCTTAAAGTACATTTTCTCCATGGACACGGTAAGTAACTTAACATTAGCTTTGCATTAATCGTCTTAATAGCATATTTGTCAAGTAATAACTGGTTCCTTTTTTGTGTTGTTAGGAACCGCAATTCGCCATTGGTCGATGTCTGTCCAGTCACCAGGTATATTCGTGATGAATAAAGAACAAAAGGTCGAGGTACCGGTGAAATTTGCTCAAAAAGATTTGTACTTGCTGGAGTTTATTGAATTTTACAAAAGTCTTGCCGTAAGTTGACAAAAGAAAGAAACGTATGCAATCAATTATACGAGAATATCAACTTACAGAATGCAATTTATTAAATATTTGCAGTTGGCACTTGAGGATACCACGGAAATACTTACACAACTAAAACAAGAACATAAAGAAGTGAAATCAAGTAATACGAATTGCAAAAGCCTTTTGGGTAGCATTGATCCGGTCATAATAAGGCTCAATGAAGGAAAACATTTGGGAATTGTTGCTGATGAAGGCCCAATGAGTGTACCTCCTAGTCCTGACCGTGATCAAAAGAATTAGTTTATCTCTCATTAAAAATGGTCTTATTGTTACGATTTCATTATTCTATTTGTACATGATATTTTTCTACAAATGTGTTTTATACCCCTCTTCCTTTATATATGATCTGTAATACAATAAAGATAAACACACACTGATTTCGTTTTCCAATTTATACTATCACTCATAGAAAAAGTAAACCAGGTTTCCAAATAATTCAGTAGCAGATGAGTCCTCAAAAACGAGGTTTGTACATCCACGATACTTTTGCTGAAATCCACATAATGCCTGGCAGCAAGGACGAAGGCGCTTAATGTGGTTCGTACTTTCACTAACTTTATATCTATGTTGGATCGATTGAACAGTCGATCCATAGGTAAAAAGAGAAAAAGGGTAATAAATAGTAATAGTAATGTAAGTATTATATAAGTGTCTAAGAGACAACAATTATATAAACACAGTAAGGAAACACATGAACAATCCCAATGTTGGAGAATGAAATACATATTAAATAGATCTATAATATGTAGCTGCAACAGCAGCAACAATGGTTGTAAAGAGAAGTTTTTTTGTAATTACATAATTAGATTATTTATCTACCATATGCAAATATTCAATCTACCATAATATATAGCTTTTACTTCCATGATATAAGCGTTTACTCATATAGAATAATTTTTTTAGGCAATTAAATAAGTATTACGTGTTTGGTTTTGTCACCAATATATTCTTTTATATACAGTAGTAACAACGTTTGGAGTACATCCAACACTTATATAATACTTACATTACTATTACTATTTATTACCCTTTTTCTCTTTTTACCTATGGATCGACTGTTCAATCGATCCAACATAGATATAAAGTTAGTGAAAGTACGAACCACATTAAGCGCCTTCGTCCTTGCTGCCAGGCATTATGTGGATTTCAGCAAAAGTATCGTGGATGTACAAACCTCGTTTTTGAGGACTCATCTGCTACTGAATTATTTGGAAACCTGGTTTACTTTTTCTATGAGTGATAGTATAAATTGGAAAACGAAATCAGTGTGTGTTTATCTTTATTGTATTACAGATCATATATAAAGGAAGAGGGGTATAAAACACATTTGTAGAAAAATATCATGTACAAATAGAATAATGAAATCGTAACAATAAGACCATTTTTAATGAGAGATAAACTAATTCTTTTGATCACGGTCAGGACTAGGAGGTACACTCATTGGGCCTTCATCAGCAACAATTCCCAAATGTTTTCCTTCATTGAGCCTTATTATGACCGGATCAATGCTACCCAAAAGGCTTTTGCAATTCGTATTACTTGATTTCACTTCTTTATGTTCTTGTTTTAGTTGTGTAAGTATTTCCGTGGTATCCTCAAGTGCCAACTGCAAATATTTAATAAATTGCATTCTGTAAGTTGATATTCTCGTATAATTGATTGCATACGTTTCTTTCTTTTGTCAACTTACGGCAAGACTTTTGTAAAATTCAATAAACTCCAGCAAGTACAAATCTTTTTGAGCAAATTTCACCGGTACCTCGACCTTTTGTTCTTTATTCATCACGAATATACCTGGTGACTGGACAGACATCGACCAATGGCGAATTGCGGTTCCTAACAACACAAAAAAGGAACCAGTTATTACTTGACAAATATGCTATTAAGACGATTAATGCAAAGCTAATGTTAAGTTACTTACCGTGTCCATGGAGAAAATGTACTTTAAGCTTTTTAAATGTATTAAACGAAGCATACTCATATATATGGGCTACTGTTCGTAACATGGAAAGCTGGCCAAACATTGCTTTGTAATGATCAAAGCTAATTTTTCCAACTTCGTTACTTCCAAATGCTGATGATACCTCAGTTAAGAGAATTTCGAGATCGCTTTGGTTATCTTTTATGATTCCATCTGCATTGTATTTATAATGACCATTATTCAGCCCCTTTAGTTTCAATTGCGTAGTCATGGAAACGAGCTCTATTTCACCTGGCAGAAAAGTCATATCGATCTTTTTCTCTCTCAAATATTTGGTGGTGAACTTGAGACAAATATCAAACAGATATAACCGATAGCAAGTCTCCGATTGGCTCAAGATCTCTTCATTACAATTGTCATAAATATAGTCAAAGCTAAATATCAATAATATATATAAAAAATTAGCACAAGAGCATGACCCTGCTATGTAATTTATAAGTATGTGTATATGACTCCAATTATTTTTTATACTCATAAATTGTCGCACATGTTCGAAATAAACTTTTTTTCAGGCATCAGCAACTTGTCAATTGGAGACATCGATTGAAGCTCTGAAAGTGCTTCTCCCATTATGCAATACGACTTCTATATAGAGATGAGGTTACCTTCAGCTGCAGAATAGACGTACTGAAATAATATAACATACCGAATCTTGAATTTTTTTTGTTACATCGACAAAGTATGAGCTAATTTTATGACAAGTAATGAGCGGCACTTCCTTTTGGAGCCTATTATACAGATCTTGAGGTAAAGGGCTTCTACGGCGAACAGTCTTTCCACACCAGATGATTTTGTGCTTCTCTGGACTATATACCCATGAATATAATTATTAATTGCATATCATTTCATAGCCATTTGCCTATATTGAATCATTTGTTACCTTAGTTGCATCAAATGATTTGTATTTTGTGGGTTATCAAGGAATTTCTTCCATTGCTCCCACACGTCAACTTCGGTGGTTTCACTATCGTCTTCGCTCTCTTCTTCGTTCTGTTTGATTCGTTTTTGCACCACACCACTACTAGACCCCTCATCGACCCCACGTCTCTTTCTTGTGATCTTTTCTTCTTCATTTGCAATTTGTTCTGCCATGCTGCTTCTTAAACGATGCTATATAAATTGTTTATTAGACAGATCTGTTTAGACTGTATGCTAACAATAAACACAGTGATTTACTTTTTGCACAGAGAAATTAACCGAGCTTTCTGCGATTACAGCAGCCGAACCCTTTTCGGAAAAATTCTTGAATGCATTTTTGCCTTGTACTGTCTAAAATATATACTATCAGTAACTGTAATAATATAATAGGACTAATAGAAAAAAATAAAAATATTTTCTAACCTGGTTATACTTGTTCATAGAATTTACTGTTGTTTCAGCGACAGTTCCTGCAACAACATGTTGTTGAACTATTTTACTATCGTTCAGCAATCGTATAGAAGCATCGCGACGAGTAATTGCAGGATCTTGAGCCACCAGTTTCTGTAGGTAGTGTGTCACAGTCCAATAACATGGATCTTCCTTGATCTAAAACTCTAGAGTAAATGCTTCAATATAGGTTCATCTCTCTACATCGTTGAACACAAAACAGAATCGAACTTACCTTTGAGGTGTAATTTTGACTGTACATTCTCAACGAATGAGGATTGAAAATAAAACTTTTTGTTGAACTGCGTCATGATAATCACAAAGTGCTTTTGGAAGAAAAAAGCTAAATGATGACCTTTCTTCTTGCTGGTTGAATAGTGATCATGTGATCATGCAAAATTGTTTATTGACCTGAGTTTCGAATACACTGGTTGGCAAGTTAACATTATTCTTCTCCAAAACACATACACATTTATTTTTATACGTTTTATTTGTATAAATCAGTCAATACTTCATTCAAAAAACATAATCATGTACACCATCAACCTGAATAGTTTCTTCTTTCAATGACGGACCTGATAATTTTGGGCAAAGAAGCTAAGTATCTATTTTATTCTATTTATAAAGTGGCATGAATAGCATGATGGCAATCTGCACATGAACCCTGCCCTGTGCGGAGAAATATTCTGGTTGCCTACGGCATATTACATGCTGTTCCACTGGGAGTGGGAGCCGTAGATTGTTGTCATGGGAAGAAGATCCGGATGAACCCTGCCCTGCGCGGAGAAATATTCTGGTTGTCTACAGCATTTATATGCTGTTCCACCAGGAGTGGGAAGTTGATCTTCTTCCTCTTGTCACTGACCAAGTAACGTACATGTATGGATACGAGGACTAATTTTCTTTTCTGCCCTTCCAAGATTTTTTGTATATACAGGCTTCATGCGGAATAAGATGTGAAAGTGAGAAAATAAAAAAAAAGATGTATCATCACCTACACGCCCTCTTTGTGCAGTCTTACTGCATTTCAAAACTAATTAATGGATGAAGCGCACATGCCTATCTCACATATCCTGGTATGAGACGCTTCGTTCTTTTCTTTTTCCTTGTCTATCTCCCTTGTCGAAGATAGATGTTATTCTTTACAGTAAAGTTAACCAAATCTTTTTTTTTGACAAGCAGGAACTGTCGGTGTCAAATTACCAAGGCTCATTCGATGTTGTTCGATAGTACTGTGAATAAAAATTTTTTACTGCTGTCAATAACAAATGCTCTATTTGTTTTTTTTTTCTCTTTTTATGTTCAGTTATGTGTTGAAACTGGTTTGGTCTTAATGACAATCCGCGATTTTGTCGTGCTAATTTGATTAATAAACAATTATAGCATCAGTTGATGTAATAAAAATATATGAGTGAGTGAGGGCTGCAATAGTGTAAATCATAAAGGAAGATGTTACTCAATAAACATTTACACATCTTTTACCATGTTATTTCGCAATATATAATAAAGGGCCTTGCTGATATATAGCTAGTGAGATTTGCATCATCTTTTGTTCTCTTCTGCAGATTACAATTCTATTATCATGCCAATTCTGATTGCTTTTACGGATACGATAGTTACCAAAAAGTAGAACACCTGTAAAGCACAGCAATAATTCATTTGACCACAAATATTGTGGGATGTGCAACGACACAATGTTTACAAAGATATAATTGTTTTTAATAAAAATAACTGTTTTTTTATATCTAAATTGAATTTTACATAATAAATAAAATGGACAGTACAATGGACTATACACCACTTATTACAGATGAAGTAAACATTATTATTACCAATTATTAGACATTTCTTGAATTAAATTGGCCAATTATACATAATAGATTTAAACATA